AGACGATCGTGCATGGCGGTCCATGATTTGAATAACTTCGTTTCACATTTTATACCGCTGCGGATTTCGCAGCTTTCTGGTCTCACGAACGCCCTTATAGGGGGGCGGTTCTTGCGGCGGGCTCGTCTGAAGTTATTAGGAGCTGGAAACTGAACGCAGGGTACTTAGGACTGTGGCAAAGATGCTCGTGCATGGCGGTCCATGATTTGAATAACTTCGCTTCACATTTTATACCGCTGCGGATTTCGCAGCTTTCTGGTCTCACGAACGCCCTTATAGGGGGGCGGTTCTTCTTGCGGCGGGCTCGTCTGAAGTTATTAGGAGCTGGAAACTGACCGCTGGGTACTTAGGACACTGGCAAAGATGATCCTACATGGCGGTCCATGATTTGAATAACTTCGCTTCACATTTTATACCGCTGCGGATTCCGCAGCTTTCTGGTCTCACGAACGCCCTTATAGGTGGGCGGTTCTTCTTGCGGCGGGCTCGTCTGAAGCTATTAGGAGCTGGAAACTGACCGCAGGGTACTTAGGATACTGGCAAAGACGATCGTGCATGGCGGTCCATGATTTGTATAACTTCGCTTCACATTTTATACCGCTGCGGAGTTCGCAGCTTTCTGGTCTCACGAACGCCCTTATAGGGGCGGCGGTTCTTCTCGCGGCGGGCTCGTCTAAAGTTATTAGGAGCTGGAAACTGACCGCAGGGTACTTAGGACACTGGCAAAGATGATCGCGCATGGCGGTCCATGATTTGAATAACTTCGCTTCACATTTTATACCGCTGCGGATTTCGCAGCTTTCTGGTCTCACGAACGCCCTTATAGGGGGGCGGTTCTTCTTGCGGCGGGCTCGTCTAAAGTTATTAGGAGCTGGAAACTGGCCGCAGGGTACTTAGGACACTGGCAAAGATGATCGTGCATGGCGGTCCATGATTTGAATAACTTCGTTTCACATTCTATACCGCTGCGGATTTCGCAGCTTTCTGGTCTCACGAACGCCCTTATAGGGGGGCGGTTCTTCTTGCGGCGGGCTCGTCTAAAGTTATTAGGAGCTGGAAACTGGCCGCAGGGTACTTAGGACACTGGCAAAGATGATCGTGCATGGCGGTCCATGATTTGAATAACTTCGCTTCACATTTTATACCGCTGCGGATTTCGCAGCTTTCTGGTCTCACGAACGCCCTTATAGGGGGGCGGTTCTTCTTGCGGCGGGTTCGTCTGAAGTTATTAGGAGCTGGAAACTGACCGCAGTGTACTTATCACTGTGGCAAAGATGATCGTGCATGGCGGTCCATGATTTGAATAACTTCGCTTCCCATTTTATACCGCTGCGGATTTCGCAGCTTTCTGGTCTCACGAACGCCCTTATAGGGGGGCGGTTCTTCTTGCGGCGGGCTCGTCTGAAGTTAGTAGGAGCTGGATTAGGCCTTCTACTTCAACAACACTAGGTTATAACCTTTCCGATCCACATAGTTTGGGAGATTTCAGAGTTCCAGCTCCGCCTTGTACCTATACACAAGCGTGCATACTGACCTTACCGGCCGACGCATTATTCTTTTTGTACAAATACAGCAAATACCATATGTATTCCCATTTACTTCAAATTATACAATTCACCACCCCCCTACCATGTTTTAACCTATCGGATCTATGTAATTTGGCAGATATAGACATTCCAGTCGTTCATGGTACCTGCACTACAGGCGCGCATACCGATTAAACTGACCAGCGCATTACTTATGTTTCTAGAAATGCAGTTAGTATCATATTCATGTCAGTTCACTAGATTAGGCGTTCTATTTCAACAACACTTGGTTATAACCTTTCCGATCCACATAATTTGGGAGATTTCAGAGTTCTAGCTCCGCCTTGTACCTACACATAAGCTTGCATACTGACCTTACCAGCCGACGCATTATTCTCTCTGTACAGATACAGTGAATACCATATGTATTCCCATTTCCTTTAAATTATACCATTCCCCACCCCCCTACCATGTTTTAACCTATCGGATCTATGTAATTTGACAAATATTGACATTCCAGTCGTACATGGTACCTGCACTGCTGGCGCGCATACCGACCAAACTGACCAGCGCATTACTTATGTTTCTAGAAATGCAGTTAGTACCATATTCTTGTCAGTTCACTAGATTAGGACTTCTACTTCAACAACACTTGGTTATAACCTTTTCGATCCACATAATTTGGGAGATTTCAGAGTTCCAGCTCCACCTTGTACCTACACACAAGCGTGCATACTGACCTTACCTGCCGACGTATTATTCTCTCTGTACAAATATAGTGAATACCATAAGTATTCCCATTTCCTTTAGATAATACCATTCCCCACCCCCCTACCCTGTTTTAACCTATCGGATCTATGTAATTTAGCAGATATAGACATTCCAGTTGTACATGGTACCTGCACTACCGGCGCGCATACCGACCAAACTGAACAGCGCATTACTTGCATGTCCACTAGATTAGGCCTTCTACTTCAAAAACACCAGATATGCAGTTAGTACCATATTCTTGCATGTCCACTAGTTTAGGCCTTCTACTTAAAAAACACTAGGATAAAACCTTTTCCGATCCACATAGTTTGGGAGATTTCAGAGTTCCAGTTCCGCCTTATACCTACACACAAGAGTGCATCCTGACCTTACCGGCCGACGCATTTTTATCTCCGTACAAATATAGTAAGTACCGTATGTATTCCCATTTCCTTTAAATGATACCCTTTCTTACCCCCCTACCATGTTTTAACTCGGATCTATGTAATTCGGCAGATAAAGACATTTCAGTCGTACATGGTACCTGCACTACAGGCGCGCATACCGACCAAACTGTCCAGCGCATTACGTATGTTTGTAGAGATTTAGTTAGTGCCATATTCTTGCCTGTCCACTAGATTAAGCCTTCTACTTCAACAACACTCGGTTATAACATTTTTGATCCACATAATTTGGGAGATTTCAGAGTTTCAGCTCCGCCTTGTACCTACACGCAAGCGTGCATACTGACCTTACCGGCCGACACATTATTCTTTCTGTACAAATACAGCAAATACCATCTGTATTCCCACTTACTTTAAATGATACCATTCCCCACCCCCCTACCATATTTTAACCTATCGGATCTATGCAATTTGGAAGATATAGACATTCCAGTCGTACATGGTACCTGCACTACAGACGTGCATACCGACCAAACTGACCAGCGCATTACGTATGTTTGTAGAGATGCAGTTAGTGTCATATTCTTGCCAGTCCACTAGATTAGGCCTTCTACTTCAAGAACACTAGGTTATTACCTTTACGATCCACATAGTTTGGGAGATTTCAGAGTTCGAGCTCCGCCTTGTACCTACACACAAGCGTTCATACTGACCTTACCGGCCGACGCATTATTCTCTCTGTACAAATACAGTGAATACCATATGTATTCCCATTTCCTTTAAATTTTACCATTCCCTACCCCCTACCATGTTTTAACCTATCAGATCCATGTAATTTGGCAGATATTGGCATTCCAGTCGTAGATGGTACCTGCACTACAGGCGCGCATACCGACCAAACTGACCAGCGCATTACTTATGTTTTAAGAAATGCAGTTAATATCATATTCTTGTCTGTTCACTAGATTAAGCCTTCTACTTCAACAACACTTGGTTATAACCTTTCCGATCCCATAATTTGGGTGTAACCTTTCCCTTTCTCTTCCCTCGTTGCATCCAGTTGAGTGCTCTGCCACACTGCCTATTTGTATCATTCCGATCCGACCCAGCATAATCTGGCCTCCAGGAAGAGGTTGGTATTTCTGACTGGGCAGAGGGAGCTGGAAGACTTGTGCAGGAAGCTTGGAAAAAGTTTCAAATGAACGCGGGTGGGCAGAGGAGGGGGGGAGGTTGGGATAGAAATGGGGAACCGGATAGAGGAATGGGGAACCGGAAGGAGGAATGGTGGACCGGATTGAGGAATGGGGAACCGGATAGAGGAATGGGGAACCGGATAGAGGAATGGGGGACCGGATTGAGGAATGGGGGACCGGATTGAGGAATGGGGGACCGGATTGAGGAATGGGGGACCGGATTGAGGAATGGGGGACCGGATTGAGGAATGGGGGACCGGATTGAGGAATGGGGGACCAAGGGAGCATGGGGTGGGACAGCAGGGGTGGGAGCATGGGGGGCAGGGACAGGGATAGTGACAGGGATACACTCTATTTCACGCGGAAATTAAAATGAAGGCCTTGATAAATCAGGCAGTCCTTCAATTTCTACTGCATGCATTAAATTTCCAAATCCTAAGAGGTACAGTAAGGGAGGCACTATTGCCTAATGGCTGTAAAGTGAGATCCATTCATTCATGTGACAGCTGCTGAGTCCTCCCTGACACTTTGAAGCCATGCCTTGAACAATAGTGGGGGCGATTCAGGTGGCACAAGGGTGAATCCTCTGCCTGTCCCGTGGCACAGTTGCAGTGGAGGCCCGTAGTGAGAGCCATTGGAGCTGAAACACTGCGACGGAGGCAAGCAGAGACGGGAAGTGCAGAGGGAGAAAGGCAGGCACGGTGCGTGAAGAACAGCGGAAGGACCCCTTTCAAAGGAGTAAAGGACAGGCCAGTGGAAACAAGGCACGTGTACAAAGAACGCAGATGCAGACGATGGAATGGAGAGGACAGCGGGCGGTGGAGACAAGTGCAGAGAAAAGGAAGAGCATAAGAACTGGGCAGCATGGTATGTGTCTGCAGCCATCACATGGTGCGTGCCTAAAGCATGCCCTGCCCACCTGCGAGTGCCCTGCCCTGCCCACCTGCGAGTGCCCTGCCCACCTGCGAGTGCCCTGCCCACCTGCGAGTGCCCTGCCCACCTGCGAGTGCCCTGCCCACCTGCGAGTGCCCTGCCCTGTCCACCCCACCTGAGCGTGCCCGTGGTGCGTCTTGAGGCACGGCTCCGGCCCACCGAGCTGGCACTCGGGGCGGCCATTGGAGCGCCAGTCATGGCCGGTGGAGGTGTCGAGCATGACGTTCATCATGTAAGGCGTGGCGCCCGCCAGCCCCGCCGCCACCATGCCTAGTGTTGACCCCTCCGTCACCAGGAACGAGTCGCTGGCAGGCAAGTGAGCACAGGCAAGCGGGCACAACGTGCAGAGGGGTGGAGGGACACGCACAGGCAGGTGAGCATGTTGTGAGGCGCCTCAAAACAAGACGCCAGCCAGTCCCGCCGCCACCATGCCCAGTGTTGATCCCTCCGTCACCAGAAAGGAGTCGCTGCCAGAGAGAAACGCACAGGCAGGTGGGCACACACAGGCAGGTGGGCACGCACAGGCAGGTGGGCACGAACAGGCAGGTGGGCACGCACAGGCAGGTGGGCACGCACAGGCAGGTGGGCACGCACAGGCAGGTGGGCACGCACAGGCAGGTGGGCACGCACAGGCAGGTGGGCACGCACAGGCAGGTGGGCACGCACAGGCAGGTGGGCACGCACAGGCAGGTGGGCACGCACAGGCAGGTGGGCACGCACAGGGTGCATAGCTGCCCAAATCTGTGACATGACCAGCCTTGCAGTTGCGTTGGATTGCACTGCAATGTGCGCACTGCTCTGGATAGGGGGCGCGGGTCTCACCAGAGTGCGAGGAGCCAGACGTCAATGACCGCGGTGCCAAAGTGAGGCCAGTCAAACATTTGGGGGGGGGAGGCATGAGAGGGGGAAGGCATGAGAGGGGGAAGGCATGAGAGGGGGAAGGCATGAGAGGGGGAAGGCATGAGAGGGGGAAGGCATGAGAGGGGGAAGGCATGAGAGGGGGAAGGCATGAGAGGGGGAAGGCATGAGAGGGGGAAGGCATGAGAGGGGGAAGGCATGAGAGGGGGAAGGCATCAGAGGGGGAAGGCATGAGAGGGGGAAGGACATGAGAGGGGGAAGGCATGAGAGGGGGAAGGCATGAGAGGGGGAAGGCATGAGAGGGGGAAGGCATGAGAGGGGGAAGGCATGAGAGGGGGAAGGCATGAGAGGGGGAAGGCATGAGAGGGGGAAGGCATGAGAGGGGGAAGGCATGAGAGGGGGAAGGCATGAGAGGGGGAAGGCATGAGAGGGGGAAGGCATGAGAGGGGGAAGGCATGAGAGGGGGAAGGCATGAGAGGGGGAAGGCATGAGAGGGGGAAGGCATGAGAGGGGGAAGGCATGAGAGGGGGAAGGCATGAGAGGGGGAAGGCATGAGAGGGGGAAGGCATGAGAGGGGGAAGGCATGAGAGGGGGAAGGCATGAGAGGGGGAAGGCATGAGAGGGGGAAGGCATGAGAGGGGGAAGGCATGAGAGGGGGAAGGCATGAGAGGGGGAAGGCATGAGAGGGGGAAGGCATGAGAGGGGGAAGGCATGAGAGGGGGAAGGCATGAGAGGGGGAAGGCATCAGAGGGGGAAGGCATGAGAGGGGGAAGGCATGAGAGGGGGAAGGCATGAGAGGGGGAAGGCATGAGAGGGGGAAGGCATGAGAGGGGGAAGGCATGAGAGGGGGAAGGCATGAGAGGGGAAGGCATGAGAGGGGGAAGGCATGAGAGGGGGAAGGCATGAGAGGGGGAAGGAATGAGAGGGGGAAGGCATGAGAGGGGGGAAGGCATGAGAGGGGGAAGGCATGAGAGGGGGAAGGCATGAGAGGGGGAAGGCATGAGAGGGGGAAGGCATGAGAGGGGGAAGGCATGAGAGGGGGAAGGCATGAGAGGGGGAAGGCATGAGAGGGGGAAGGCATGAGAGGGGGAAGGCATGAGAGGGGGAAGGCATGAGAGGGGGAAGGCAATGAGAGGGGGAAGGCATGAGAGGGGGAAGGCATGAGAGGGGCAAGGCATGAGAGGGGGAAGGCATGAGAGGGGGAAGGCATGAGAGGGGGAAGGCATGAGAGGGGGAAGGCATGAGAGAGGGGAGGCATGAGAGGGGGGAGGCATGAGAGGGGGAAGGCATGAGAGGGGGGAGGCATGAGAGGGGGAAGGCATGAGAGGGGGAAGGCATGAGAGGGGGAAGGCATGAGAGGGGGAAGGCATGAGAGGGGGAAGGCATGAGAGGGGGAAGGCATGAGAGGGGGAAGGCATGAGAGGGGGAAGGCATGAGAGGGGGAAGGCATGAGAGGGGGGAGGCATGAGAGGGGGAAGGCATGAGAGGGGGAAGGCATGAGAGGGGGAAGGCATGAGAGGGGGGAGGCATGAGAGGGGTAAGGCATGAGAGAGGGGAGGCATGAGAGGGGGGAGGCATGAGAGGGGGAAGGCATGAGAGGGGGAAGGCATGAGAGGGGGAAGGCATGAGAGGGGGAAGGCATGAGAGGGGGAAGGCATGAGAGGGGGAAGGCATGAGAGGGGGAAGGCATGAGAGGGGGAAGGCATGAGAGGGGGAAGGCATGAGAGGGGGAAGGCATGAGAGGGGGAAGGCATGAGAGGGGGAAGGCATGAGAGAGGGGAGGCATGAGAGGGGGGAGGCATGAGAGGGGGAAGGCATGAGAGGGGGGAGGCATAAGAGGGGGAAGGCATGAGAGGGGGAAGGCATGAGAGGGGGAAGGCATGAGAGGGGGAAGGCATGAGAGGGGGAAGGCATGAGAGGGGGAAGGCATGAGAGGGGGGAGGCATGAGAGGGGGAAGGCATGAGAGGGGGAAGGCATGAGAGGGGGAAGGCATGAGAGGGGGGAGGCATGCGAGGGGGAAGGCATGAGAGAGGGGAGGCATGAGAGGGGGGGGAAGGCATGAGAGGGGGAAGGCATGAGAGGGGGAAGGCATGAGAGGGGGAAGGCATGAGAGGGGGAAGGCATGAGAGGGGGAAGGCATGAGAGGGGGAAGGCATGAGAGGGGGAAGGCATGAGAGGGGGAAGGCATGAGAGGGGGGAAGGCATGAGAGGGGGAAGGCATGAGAGGGGGAAGGCATGAGAGAGGGGAGGCATGAGAGGGGGGAGGCATGAGAGGGGGAAGGCATGAGAGGGGGGAGGCATGAGAGGGGGAAGGCATGAGAGGGGGAAGGCATGAGAGGGGGAAGGCATGAGAGGGGGAAGGAATGAGAGGGGGAAGGCATGAGAGGGGGAAGGCATGAGAGGGGGAAGGCATGAGAGGGGGAAGGCATGAGAGGGGGAAGGCATGAGAGGGGGAAGGCATGAGAGGGGGAAGGCATGAGAGGGGGAAGGCATGAGAGGGGGAAGGCATGAGAGGGGGAAGGCATGAGAGGGGGAAGGCATGAGAGGGGGAAGGCATGAGAGGGGGAAGGCATGAGAGGGGGAAGGCATGAGAGGGGGAAGGCATGAGAGGGGGAAGGCATGAGAGGGGGAAGGCATGAGAGGGGGAAGGCATGAGAGGGGGAAGGCATGAGAGGGGGAAGGCATGAGAGGGGGGAGGCATGAGAGGGGGAAGGCATGAGAGGGGGAAGGCATGAGAGGGGGAAGGCATGAAAGGGGGGAGGCATGAGAGGGGGAAGGCATGAGAGAGGGGAGGCATGAGAGGGGGGAGGCATGAGAGGGGGAAGGCATGAGAGGGGGAAGGCATGAGAGGGGGAAGGCATGAGAGGGGGAAGGCATGAGAGGGGGAAGGCATGAGAGGGGGAAGGCATGAGAGGGGGAAGGCATGAGAGGGGGAAGGCATGAGAGGGGGAAGGCATGAGAGGGGGAAGGCATGAGAGGGGGAAGGCATGAGAGAGGGGAGGCATGAGAGGGGGGAGGCATGAGAGGGGGAAGGCATGAGAGGGGGGAGGCATGAGAGGGGGAAGGCATGAGAGGGGGAAGGCATGAGAGGGGGAAGGCATGAGAGGGGAAAGGCATGAGAGGGAGAAGGCATGAGAGGGGGACGGCATGAGAGGGGGAAGGCATGAGAGGGGGAAGGCATGAGAGGGGGAAGGCATGAGAGGGGGAAGGCATGAGAGGGGGAAGGCATGAGAGGGGAAGGCATGAGAGGGGGAAGGCATGAGAGGGGGAAGGCATGAGAGAGGGGAGGCATGAGAGGGGGGAGGCATGAGAGGGGGAAGGCATGAGAGGGGGGAGGCATGAGAGGGGGAAGGCATGAGAGGGGGAAGGCATGAGAGGGGGAAGGCATGAGAGGGGGAAGGAATGAGAGGGGGAAGGCATGAGAGGGGGAAGGCATGAGAGGGGGAAGGCATGAGAGGGGGAAGGCATGAGAGGGGGAAGGCATGAGAGGGGGAAGGCATGAGAGGGGGAAGGCATGAGAGGGGGAAGGCATGAGAGGGGGAAGGCATGAGAGGGGGAAGGCATGAGAGAGGGGAAGGCATGAGAGAGGGAAGGCATGAGAAGGGGAGGCATGAGAGGGGGAAAGGCATGAGAAGGGGGAAGGCATGAGAGGGGGAAAGCATGAGAGGGGGAAGGCATGAGAGGGGGAAGGCATGAGAGGAGGAAGGCATGAGAGGGGAAGGCATGAGAAGGGGGAAGGCATGAGAGGGGGAAGGCATGAGAGGGGGAAGGCATGAGAGGGGGAAGGCATGAGAGGCATGAGAGGGGAAGGCATGAGAGGGGGAAGGCATGAGAGGGGGAAGGCATGAGAGGGGGAAGGCATGAGAGGGGGAAGGCATGAGAGGGGGAAGGCATGAGAGGGGGAAGGCATGAGAGGGGGAAGGCATGAGAGGGGGAGGCAATGAGAGGGGGAAGGCATGAGAGGGGGAAGGCATGAGAGGGGGAAGGCATGAGAGGGGGAAGGCATGAGAGGGGGAAGGCATGAGAGGGGGAAGGCATGAGAGGGGGGGAAGGCATGAGAGGGGGAAGGCATGAGAGGGGGAAGGCATGAGAGGGGGAAGGCATGAGAGGGGGAAGGCATGAGAGGGGCGAAGGCATGAGAGGGGGAAGGCATGAGAGGGGGAATGCATGAGAGGGGGAAGGCATGAGAGGGGGAAGGCATGAGAGGGGGAAGGCATGAGAGGGGGAAGGCATGAGAGGGGGGAGGCATGAGAGGGGGAAGGCATGAGAGGGGGAAGGCATGAGAGGGGGAAGGCATGAGAGGGGGAAGGCATGAGAGGGGGGAGGCATGAGAGGGGGGAGGCATGAGAGAGGGAAGGCATGAGAGGGGGAAGACATGAGAGGGGGAAGGCATGAGAGGGGGAAGGCATGAGAGGGGGGAGGCATGAGAGGGGGGAAGGCATGAGAGGGGGAAGGATGAGAGGGGGAAGGCATGAGAGGGGGAAGGCATGAGAGGGGGGAAGGCATGAGAGGGGGGAGGCATGAGAGGGGGGAGGCATGAGAGGGGGAAGGCATGAGAGGGGGAAGGCATGAGAGGGGGAAGGCATGAGAGGGGGAAGGCATGTGAGGGGGAAGGGATGAGAGGGGGAAGGCATGAGAGGGGGAAGACATGAGAGGGGGAAGGCATGAGAGGGGGAAGGCATGAGAGGGGAAGGCATGAGAGGGGGAAGGCATGAGAGGGGGAAGGCATGAGAGGGGGAAGGCATGAGAGGGGGAAGGCATGAGAGGGGGAAGGCATGAGAGGGGGAAGGCATGAGAGGGGGAAGGCATGAGAGGGGGAAGGCATGAGAGAGAGAAGGCATGAGAGGGGGAAGGCATGAGAGGGGGAAGGCATGAGAGGGGG